AAGGCAGAAGATGGAATATTTGTGGGTTATAGCTCTTTTTCCAAGGCTTACAACGTTTCTCAACCTCACAGAAAAAATATCATTATATGTAGAGATGTGCATCTTATGGAAAATGAACAATAAAACTGGAAAGAAGTAGAACAATATTCATTCCAGATAAAAATAAAATGCTCCAGCTGAAAGATGATGTCCCAATAAGAGGCACAAGATCTCTCTTTGAAATCTATCAAAGATGCAATATGGTTGTCCTTGATCCAATATACTTTTGGGAAGCATAAAGAGAGCCAAAATGAAGGTGGAACTCACCATTATGGAGATTAATCAAACCTAGAAACTTGTGAAAAGACCTGAAGAAAAGAAAGTCCTAGGAGTAAAGTATATTTTCAGAACCAAGTGGCATGCAAATGGCTCTATCAATAGCACAAAGTCAGACTTGTTAAAGGGGTATACTCAAATTTTTTATATTGATTTTCATGATACATTTTTTCATGTTGCTAGATTAGAAATCACCCTATTATTGCTGGATATAGCGGCATAAAAGTTTTGGAAATTGTTACAACTGGACACTAAAATGCATTCTTGAATGGCTTTCTGGAGAAGGAAATTTTTTTTGATAAACCTGTAGGAGGGCATAAGGATGAATTTTATCAGCTCAAAGAATCTTTGTATGGACTAACGCAGGGGCCAGAGCTTGGTACAACAGGATTAATGAGCATTTGGTGCAGCTGGGTTTCAGAAAATGTCTTAGTGAAGCTAATCTCTATATTAAAGGTGATGAAAGTATTTGTATTGATAACTGTATATAGTTGATCTGTTTGTTACCATAAGCAATGATGAATGTGTTATGAAATTTAAGGAAGATATGCAACAGACTTTTGAGATAATGGATTTTAAAGAAATGGTGTATTTTCTAGGAACGGAAATCAAGCGAGGAAAGAAAATGAAGCATTCATCCGTTAGAAGAAGTATGCAGAACTTAATTGAAAAGGCTCAGAATTGAAAACTGCAAAGAGAAAATAACTCCAATGTGTCGAAAGGGGAAGTAGAGAAGAATTGATGGAGAAGACAAAGTTGATGAGACTCTTTACTAGTGTTTAGTTGGATGCCTGTATATCCTACATCAACTAGACTAGACAATTTATGTTGTACGTCCTATATCCAGATTCAGTAATTTAGCAAGTCTCACTCATTTTAGATCAGCTTAAAGGGTGACTAAATATGTTAAGGGAACATTTCTCTCAAATAAGAAGTATGTGTTAAAGGGATATACCGACTGACTGGGGTGACTCTTCCGATTACATGAAGATCACTTCTGGATATTGTTTTAATCTTTATTAAGGGGTATTTCCTTGGTGTTCTGACAAATAAGAAATTGTTGTACACTCTACGGATGTAACTGAATTAATTGCAGCAACTGTTGCTGCAAATCAATCGTTATGTCTTAGAAAAGTGTTATATAATATGAATTTAAAGAAAGCAAAGTTCATAGAGGTGTTTTTGGAGCTATTCCTGAGTCACATAATCCTATTTTTCAAGGGAAAACCAAGCATTTCAATATCAAATTATTATTTTTAGATATGCGCAGACAGAAGGATTTGTTGGGTTAAAGAAAAGTTTTAATTGGAAACCGTTAAATAAATGGTCAAGTTTTAACCCAAAGGTGGATGTCAAGCGTATTTTGGAATGAATACGTGGGTGAAAATGGCATTTTTGAGCCAATAGGTTGATGGAGGATAGTTTTGTAACATTTTCAGTACTTCGAAGATATTTTAGGCCCTTTTCGTATTATATATTGTCTCTACCTTTGACCTTTTTTTGTAAGTTTCAAGTATAAACCAATTAATTTAAAGCAAAAAAAAAATACAATTTGTTAAATTCTCCAAATATAATGAACTTTAACATCCCGAATAAAATAGGAAATATACATTATGTCAGTGTCAATCACTCGAACATATTAGACATTATTTCAGCTCTTGGAGAATAAAGAAAGAAGAAACAAGGTATATGAAGAAGAAAAAGAAGAATTGCAGGGAACTTTCATATTTTTAGAGCAATTACATAGGACACTTTAAATAGGAATCAGGACTCAACCACCAAAGAGAAATATGACTCACTAACTAAACCGCAACCTTATCCACTAAGATAAATATTGGCAACTAACAAAATATATGCTTTTACTCAACTAGGAATCCTAACAAACGCGTTACTCTGCCAACAAATTAGGAACCTCTAATTACATTTGAATCAATATTTAAACCTCCGCCTTCATATACAATTATAAATTGCAAGTTTCTGCGGGAAGGGATTATGCTTGGCTTGTGGGAGTGCCTTGGTGAGAACATCTGCAATTTGAACCTCTAATTATGTTTCAATATTCAAACCTCCGCTTTGATATAAAATTATAAATTGCATGTTTCTATAGGTTGGGATCATGCATGGCTTGTGGGAGTGCCTTGGTGAGAACATCTGCAATTTCAACCCATAATTACGTTTGAATCAATATTCAAACCTCCGCCTTGATATAAAATTATAAATCGCGCAGGCAACTCTCCCAGGAACATAAGGCAATACTCTTTTGGTAGCACCAAGATGTTGTTTGTTAGGACTACACATATACCTATACAACATATTAATAGTAAACATAAAATCAGGAGGAGTATGTGTTAGGTACCTCCAATCAAGCTTCTATAGTGACTAGGATCAAAAATATCTATGCAATCTTCAATCTACGATTTTTCATTTGCATTCATGGGTGCGGCAGCCACTTTACAATTATTTATATTGAACTTGAACAGGATGTCTTTTTTATACTTCATTTGAGAAACAAAAATTTCATCTTATAGCTGTTTCCCTTGAAGACCAAAAAGTATTGCAAAATATCTAAATCTGACATTTCAAACCCCTTCGTCACGAAAAAGTAAAATTCAGAAACTTAAGTTTCACATGACCCCATATGAATCATGTCATTCACGTAGAAACAAACTACCAAAAAATCACTCATGCCTTGTTTTTTTACATACATTGTAGGCTCTTTCTCACTCCTCTCTAATCCATTACTCAGGAAGTACGAGTCAATTTTGTTGCACCATGCCCATGACGCTTGTTTTAGCCCATAAATAACCTTCTTGAGCTTTTATACATTGCTCTCATTGTAACTAACAACATAACCCTCAACTTGGAAACCATAAACTTCCTCTTACAAATTCCCATTTAAAAATGCATATTTAACATAAAAATTGACAAACGGGCAAGCCCAGCTTTGAAGCCAAAGATAAGAGTACTCTTACCATTTCAAAGCGAGCCACGGGTGAAAATATCTCATCATAATCAATATTTTGATGTTATGCTTGATATTGAACACTCATTTGTGTCCAATGAGTTGTTTTCCTTAAACTAGATTCGCCAATCCCATGTCTGATTCTGCTCAATATATAGCATCACTTATATCATTACAGTTTTCCATTCTTGACTCTCTAAAACTTCCTTGAAGGAACTGGGCACAGTAACATACAAAGCAAAAGACAATTCTTAGAAATCTCTTGAAGAAGAACTGCTGCCACTTCTTTGTGAGGTTAAGTTGTAATCATTTGCTGGAGTAGAGGTTCTTGCTACTTGTTTGAGATGAACTGGATGGGTTCCTTGGAAAGGAAACTACAGCAGCTTCTTGCTCAGAAACTTTATCACTACGCCACAAATTAGTATTCGAACTTATACTCTCAGAATCAAAGTTCCAGCTAGCGTCCTCATTCAACATAACATTTCTACTGATCACAATTTTTCCACTTATTGGATTGTATAGGTTATAAGCTTTGGATTATGTGTTATACCCAACACAGATACGTTTCTTTCATTTTTCATCAAACTTATATCTTGCTTAGGAATTCACCAAACAATAAGATAAACACCGGAAGACACGTAAGTGGCTTACCTTCGGCTTGTTACCTCTCCATGCTTCATATGCTGTTTAATTAAGAACGGCCTTGGTCGGTGAGATATTTAGCATGTTGACATCAGTAGCAACAGCTTCAGCCCAGAAATATTTTGGTACACCTCTAGCATGAATCATGCTTCTACCTATTTCAATGAATGTCTGATTCTTTCGTTCGGCGACACAACTCTGCTCCGGAGTATATGGTGTGGTGACCTGTCTCTGGATGCTATTTTCCTCAAAATTGGTGTTGAATTCATTTAACATAAATTCACCACCTCTGTCTGTTTGAAGAGTCTTGATTAATCTATAACCACTTTAATTTCCCTCTCAACAAAAGACTTATATTTCTTGAAATTCTCAAATGTTCCAGACATGAATTTCAACAAAATACCCAACTAATTCGACAATAATCATTCGTAAAAAGCAGAAAATATCGACTTTCACCTATGGAATCAGCACTGATAGGACCACATAGGTTATCATGGACCAACCACTTTAAGACAAACAAAATCCCTCCAAGACATACCTACAGGTAATGAATTTCTATTTTGCTTCCCATGCACACATCCTTCACAAAATTCAAGAGCATCAATGCTTGCTAAACCAAGAAAAATATTTTTACGACCTTATTACGGTAATCCCTGAACATTCATCTGAACAAATTTCACAAATTAGCTTCTGTATTGCATTTGGTAATTAATGCAAAACTTTTAACATCAAAAACTCTAAAAGAAAACATTATATTTTGAGACATTTGAATGTCACCAATTTTGTGTTCTGAAATTTTATCTCAAATTCTATAGGAATTGTCATTAAAAAAATAGTGTATCCACAAGTATTCAGTTTCCAAACACTCAACGAGTTATGGGACAAAAAGGAACGTACTGCACATCATGGAGAAGTTTGACTGTTGACACCCAATTTTGACCCTCCACGATTTGATTAAATTTCATAAGCTTCTTAGATCTTAAACAAATGAAAATAATTGATTTTATCTATAAAATAAAAATTAAAAAAAAAAAGCTACCTTTCCCACATCATTTCTCAAACAATTTTCAATTTTCAATAGTCCCACATCGGCATTTTATCCCTTTTGAGGATTTTTGGGTCTCTATATAAACCCACTTCATTCAATATTTTAGGGGAGGGGGAGGGAAGACAAAGAATACTCATAAAATTTAGAGAATTCTTGATTCCCATAGTTAAAAATTTTCAAAGTGTTTTGTGGTTTTTCGAGTTGAGGAGGTGGAGTCGTCTCGTTCAAACTCGTAGTTCCGGTTCGCTGCCCAGAACCAGGTAAATTTTTTCTTAGCCTTGTTTTATTTAATTTCTAGCTCTTTTATGCTTTTTTGTTTATTACATATTCTTAGCGTTGTTTTAGTAGTCATGTGTTAGACTTTCGTTTGATCTTTTAGTAGTTAATAATGTTTATTTTGTAACTACTATTTTACTTATTTTCCGAGATGTTTTTCCAATAATCTTCCAATTTCATGTCTTTGTTTCTTCATGTTTCACTTATGTGTTTCTTGACTAAGATGTAGGCTTTCTAGTTAGTAATAAATTAGGATTTATTGAGCTAGTTTTTCTTTATATACATATATCTGATTATAGCCTTGAACATAGGAATTGTCCCCTTTTTGTATAAATCGTGTTAGTATTGCTACTAATGCTTTATCATTTCGTATTAATGAGGATGGTCATTTGTTAATGTTCATGTACCTTTAAAATTACTAGTTGCTCTTTTATTGAGAATACATATTTGTATTGTTACTTATCAATTCTCTGCTATAATACACTTCCGTAGTGCATATCTTAAGATATTTAACTTAATGCATAGCAATTTGTCTATTATCTTAGGAGTGGATTTAAGCTCTGTGATTGAATTTTAGATTATTATGTGTCTATTTGATACGTGTGGTTAAAGTTGTGGGGTTTGGTATATCCATGTTTATCTTCCTTTGAAAAATTTCATGCCCATTTGAAGTGGTTCAACTATGAGATTTGACATACTATTGTCACTAAGCTAGATAATTTGAATATTTCAGAAAATTCTTCAATCAGTTGCTAATTTTTATTTCATTCTGTACATGTACCTCTGTCTTAACTGAGTCCATCCGGACTCCCTTCTCTTTCATTATTCCTCTTCTTGAGTCAATCTTCTTCGGAATTGTGAAAGGGAGTCATGTTATTGTGTTAAACACTCAAAAATCAGCAGCAACAACATTTCCAAAGAGCTAAAACGGAGAGCAAAATTGGGTCCATTTTTGCAGCAGTTTCAGCAGTCCCCTAAGGGCTGAAAATTGCACTTTTTTTGCTTAAATGTTCGGAAATTGCACCAGTAACAGCAATTTGCAGCAGCCAAATAAAGGCTAAAAGTTTGGGCGAAAATCCTAGTTTTCCCTCATCTTTTTTATTATCGTGTTGTTTAGTTTAGTTTCTTTTTATCTCTTATTATTGTGTGTTGTGTTTGTTAATTGTTTATTTATTGTTATTAACTTAGATGAATCCTTTGGAGGTTTTCAAATGGTTATTCTATTTCGTTAATTGACTACTTTAAATTTTCGAAACTTATTTTTTTTGTTAAATAGCTTAAGCTTATTAGAATATCTTGAGAACTTTTTTTTTTATGTTCTTTCATAGTTGTTAAAAAGCTTTGAATCCATGTTTACGAGTGTGAACTAACTATTTAGTTCAAATTTTTGAATAGGATAAAATTGTTAAGTTTCTTAAACTAAATTAGTATTTAATTTAACTTATAACTTGGTATGAATGACTTGAGGATCTTTAATATCCTTTCATAGTTGTTGCACAAAGTCTTGTAATCCATGTTTATGTGTTGAATTATTTGTATGATTCAAAATATGACTATGGATAAAAGTTTTAAGTCTTAGGATTATTTTGAGATTTTGCATAATATCAAGAGATTATTATCTAAGTTTTCAACAAGAATTTTTTTGAGTAGTTTGAAATAAATAAATAAGATTTTTTAAGTATTCACATGTTTTTTTTCGTAAAATTAGCCAACTTTGAAATTCGTCGGTCAACCGCGTGATAGCAGATTTTCTAAGGTGCCTAAACCCTTCCTTAGAGAATTATTTGAACCCTTACCAATTTCTATTAACCTTTTTTTTTTATTTATTTATTTGGTTTTCTTAATTTTTCCTAAAAGATTAAGTGGCGACTTCCTAAAATTAAACATTTTCCAAAATTGGCCAAAGTTGCGAAATCGGCTTCGAAACCCTTGAGTTTTCGAAATCGGGTCGTAACATTGACACTAAGATGAGAATTTTTTAGAGCGATTGAGCCTTTTCCATCGACTATCATTACCTTGTCATTTCTAAGATGGACTTCTTACTTCTCTATTTCATCGAGTTCTTTGAACATTAGAATTCTGCCCCGCAAGTTGTTGGAGAAACCACTATAAATGATCTATATGTCATCTGAACCAACATCTATTGAGGAGCGAGCCACGAACAAAGTACCCTCCTATTGTTGTTGCTCAGTGAAATTTGCATGGGTTGTTCATCCTTCTATTTAGTTCAACAATAAACTCCCTTGTACCCCATTTTTCTATAATAGCGGTATTGAATATTTCTCTTGAACTGTCGGTGCTCACCACCAAATTGAGCTCGTCTTCTTCCATGACCTCATTCATGGAAACTAGCTCTGCCTCGATATCCTCTGGCTTTTGAAACATCTAATTTGCCTTTGAAAGAAGACTCCCCTTGATCTGAAATGCCTTCTTTTCACCCTTTTGTTGATAAGCATTGAATTTATTCACATGAGCTTCCAGTGAACTCATCAATTCATCAAAACCATAATTAGATAAATCATGGAACTCCTCAATAGAAGCTACAACATGGTCGAATCGTTTATTAAGACTTCTCAATACTTTAGAAATTATAGTCTCACAGTAATTTTGTAAGGATATGCTTTCATATTATTAACAATTGGTCACACCCTAGATAAGTAGTCTTACACAAATTCACTACTTTGCATGGATGAATTTCTTAAATCACTTCGGAGTGATTTTAACAATCATTACATTTATTAAGCTGTGAAATTCTTTTTCCCGATATGCCATGCCTTCTTTGAGGTTTCTGCAATAGAAATATTGGAAAAATTGAGTCATGCAATGCTTGCTGGATGCAAAATTGTGTCGTCGAGTCCTCTTTATTGTTCTCCTGCAACCTTTGTGCTTCATCTTCCTCAGCATAGCCCTTCTCCACCAAATCCCGCAGTTCCTGAGACTTGAAGAAAGTCTTCACCTTTATGCTCCAAAATTCGTATTATCCCCTTTAAAGATGGAAATTAGTTGTTGAGTTGTGGTAAATGGTCCATTGGAAGCAATTGTTTGCACTCAATTGTCACTTTCTTCTTGGTATTGATCTTCTCTTAGTTTCACCTAACCTGACTCTTCATACAGATTTTTTAAATCAAGTACATAGGACACTTTAAATAGGAATTAGAACTCAACCATCTAAGAGAAACATGACCGAGTAACTTAACCACAACCTTATCCACTAGGCTAAATATTATCAACTAACAAAAGATATGCTTTGGCTCAACTAGGAGCCCTAACAAACATGTTATTCTGCCAACTAAATAGGAGGAAAGGAACAAAAGAGTCCCTCATCTTTGGGTTAAGATTCAAAGTGATCCTTGAATTTTCACAAAGAGCACTAATAGTCCCTCATGTTTACAATATTGGTGCACTTTTGGTCCTCTCGTAAAATTTTGTCTATTTTTTAACATTTATTTCGTCCAAAATTTTATATAAGGAATGTCAATTCATCTTTTAATATATTTAATAGAAATAATAACTTTTTCGGAGAGAAACGATAAGAAAAACACCTTTTTCTGTTCACGAGAAATATTACCGTTACTAAACTAAGAACATTTTAACATATGAATTTGCAGGAAAAGAAAAAATTGTATTATTGCACGTGAAATGATCGTGATGAACCTCTCGACTTTACATACTATACAATTTTTACTAAAGAAAATAAAGTGTTTTTCTTCTCACATTCTTTGATAAAGAGTTTTTATTTCTAGTAAGAGAAAAGACATAAAGTTACCACTGATGTTGTCTCGGATTTGCAAAAAGACACCATGACTTTGCAACTGTCCTATTACCTCACTAAACAATTTTGAAAATATATTATTATACTATTTTTCGATCAGCCCCAAGTTTTAAGAAGCAAGTATCTTCACACACCAATCATTATATGACACATGTTAATTTAATTTAAAATGTGTTTTTTTTATCTTAAGTTTTTCCGTTAATTTTTTTAACTTTATTTCTCTCTCATACTTTTTGAGTTTTAATTTTGATTTATTCTAAATTTTAATTCATCTCTCACCTCCCACTTTCAAGTGATTCATACCTCTACTTTCTTTTTTTCCTTCACCTCGTACACCCCATGTCAAATTGAGCCCTACTCCCAATGTTTTTCTTCTTCTTCTGGTCAAAATCTTTATGGAATTCATATTATTTTTTTAGACTTTATTGAATTATTGATAGCAAAATTAATTATTTTTGTAAGAAAATTTAGAAAGTATCATAAATTACTCATTTTCATATAAATTCAAAATTAGAAATGATAATTTCAAAAGAATCAATTAATTCCCAAAAATTGAAAGAACTTAATTTAAATCGGATAAAAAATCTATATGAAACTTCCTGATCATCTTGAAATATAATGAGTTTATCAAATTGTTCGAAATTTAAGAATATATTTAGATAAAAGTTTAAAATTAAAGAGAGTAAAATTAATAGTAATAAAAATGGAAGGTGAAGTTTTGGTAAGAATGATGACATTGAATGTAAGAAACTTTAATAGATGGAGATGAGAATGAATTTCTAAAGAAGAAAGAAGAAAGAAGAAAGAAAAAGAAAAAATAATAAGGAAAAAAAGTTAAAATTGCAAGAAAAATAAGAAAATATATTTTATAATAAAGTACTTATGAAAAATAAAATTATATCATTTATTATAGATTGCTCACTCTCTTTGAGAGAGTGCGCACCACTCTCTATGTCAGTTGGAAAACAAATGATATAGTTATATATAATCAAAATTGTTTAGTGGGTAATAAGACGGTTGCAAATTTAAGGTGTCTTTTCGAATATTCGGGACGACTTGAGTGTTGACTTTATGTCTTTTCTATTCTACTAAATATATAAAATGACAATTGAACATCTCATACATAGGTTATGGATACAATCAATGCAAAAAAAAGGTAAAATTTTGAAGAAGGACTAACTATGTACCAATATAGCAAACAAGAGGGACTATTAGTGCTTTATATGAAAACTCAAGGATAACTTTGAGTCTTATCCCAAAGAAGAGGGATTATTTTGATCCTTTCCTTACTAAATAGAAACCTCTAAACACGTTTAAATCAATATTCAACATTAGTTTCTAAGTTCTTTCCAAAAACTCAAACATATCCATATTGTTTTTATTTATTTTTTCCTTAATTAGTCTATTGAATATTGAGTAACTTGTCTACTTATTTTTCTACATTTATTGTGCTTTACGTGAGTGATTGCGGTTAAATGAATAGTCTTTAAGTATAGACCTAGAAGATTATCAACAAAGATGATCCTTGCTAAATTGGAGAAATTTGTCCTATTATTAGAAGATCTTTCGAATGTCATAAAGAGGCTTACATAGTGGGAAAAGAGGAGGATTCTATAATAAGAATAATAAGGTCTTATAAGTATTGCTAAGACATCCAAGTTAAACTCTTGGTTAAGAAGCATTCACCTCAGACGGAGCATAATATTTGATCCAGCATACTGACATTAAACTTGTTGGTATTGATTACTTATATGATGCCATTAGTCCCAAGAATGAGATCCTTAAAGTTCATTAACATCTTTTGAATTAAATAAATAAATGTAAAGTTAAAGATAAATAAACATAGCACACCAAATCTATGATAAGGAAAATAGAGTAATAACCTATCAGTAGTCAGTTAAGTTTAACTGATGGCGTGAAAATCTTTTATATTGTAAGTATATAAAACCTAATAGTTTATATGGTTACCTGTAACTCTGAAACTAAATCCCTTTGTTAAAGAAATGTCAATAAGCTACTTCTTTAGTACAAACTGCATATTTAAAAACTGTTTATTATTTGTAGAATAATGAAATGATTTTAAAGAAAAAAACTTATTGTTATGTGCCTTTATTATATAGGAGTACTCCCAAGCAAAATGTGCAGAAATTTTCTATCAGATAGGCTCCACAAGCTTCTGTATGCGCCTCGTAGTCGAATCTGGAATAATAGGATGATCATTCTGTTTTACATGAACACTTAAGATTGTAACTTTTGCGATTTTGACATCATGTTAGAATTGTTTATATGTCAGCTTTCTGTATGTTCTACAAAATATATATTTAATAGTCTTTTAAGGACAAATATGAAAAATTGGAGAGTTTGTCATATATACAAGTGATCCATCTAACATGTTTAGACGATCATTTGCATCATCAATAGGCTTACATGGTGGAAAACACAGGAGGATTCTATGCTTAGAATAATAATGTCTTATAAGTATTTGTTTGAAACCATTGATCCTCTAAATTACTAATACACCCAAATTAAACTTGAGATTGTAGTTTTGGGATTTTTACATCTCGTTTGAATTGTTGATATAGCCGCATTCTGTAAGTTGAACAAAACATATATTTACTATATAATGGGAATCTTGCCTCTTGGCCACTGAACTTGATTAATCATATAAGGTTCATGGATGCTTGTAGAAGCACATCTTCTTGATGAGCACTATTGTCGCAATTATCAACTTCCTTTTTACTTGTGCAACAATACCAAAACTTAAATGCACAAAGAAATTAGACAAGGACTGGAGTATAATAGAAAGTAACAAGATTTTTTGGAATGAAATTGGTAAATGGTTTTCTATGAGTTTATTTTGAAGATATAAAAAAGTGAATAAATGGGGTGAAGGAAAGTAACATATAGTTAATTACTAGAAGAAACACGTAACGTTTATTTTTTATTGTTTTCACTAGCACAACTATATTTTTCTTCGGTTTTATGATTTGGATCATAAAATCACTTGATATTTCACTTTGATATTGAAAATCATGTCCTACAAACTCCATGGAATTAAGAAAATAAATGAAAAAATATGATCCTGACCTACAAACTCCATGGAATTAAGAAAACAAAAGAAAGAACATGAAACTTTGGTCGATGAAATAATGTGGGGGGGGGGGGGTTGTGTGTATTTATAGTGGCTTCTCTATGAAAAAATTAAAAAATTTAAAGCAAAAGTCAAACCAAAATAAAATAGACATTATATTCGATGTGTTAGTAATCATGTTTATTATTGGTCAGGTATGACTAAAGAGAAAACATATTTAATGTTCCGGTTCGCTGCCCAGAACGAGGTAAATTTTTTCTTAGCCTTGTTTTATTTATTTCCTAGCTCTTTTATGCTTTTTTGTTTATTATATATGCTTAGCTTTGTTTTAGTAGTCATGTGTTAGACTTTGGTTTGATCTTTTAGTAGTTAATAATGTTTATTTTGTAACTACTGTTTTACTTATTTTCCGAGATGTTTTTCCAATAATCTTCCAATTTCATGTCTTTGTTTCTTCATGTTTCACTTATGTGTTTATTGACTAAAATGTAGGCTTTCTAGTTAGTAATAAATTAGGATTTATTGAGCTAGTTTTTCTTATATACATGTATCTGATTATAGCCTTGAACATAGGAATTGTCCCCTTTTTGTATAAATCGTGTTAGTATTGCTGCTAATGCTTTATCATTTCGTATTAATGAGGATGGCCATTTGTTAATGTTCATGTACCTTTAAAATTACTAGTTGCTCTTTTATTGAGAATACATATTTGTATTGTTACTTATCAATTCTCTGCTATAATACACTTCCGTAGTGCATATCTTAAGATATTTAACTTAATGCATAGCAATTTGTCTATTATTTTAGGAGTGGATTTAAGCTCTGTGATTGAATTTTAGATTATTATGTGTCTATTTGATACGTGTGGCTAAAGTTGTGGGGTTTGGTATATCCATGTTTATCTTCCTTTGAAAAATTCCATGCCCATTTGAAGTGGTTCAACTATGAGATTTGACATACTATTGTCACTAAGCTAGATGATTTGAATATTTCAGAAAATTCTTCAATCAGTTGCTAATTTTTATTTCATTCTGTGCATGTACCTCTGTCTTAATTGAGTCCATCCGGACTCCCTTCTCTTTCATTATTCCGCTTCTTGAGTCAATCTTCTTCGGAGTTGTGAAAGGGAGTCATGTTATTGGGTTAAACACTCAAAAATCAATAGCAACAACATTTCCAAAGAGCTAAAACGGAAAGCAAAATTGGGTCCATTTTTGCAGCAGTTTCAGCAGTCTTCTAAGGCCTGAAAATTGCACTTTTTTGGCTTAAAAGTTCAGAAATTGCACCAGTAACAATAATTTGCAGCAGCCAAATAAAGGCTAAAAGTTTGGGCGAAAATCCTAGTTTTCCCTCATCTTGTTTATTATCGTTTTGTTTAGTTTTGTTTCTCTTTATCTCTTATTATTGTGTGTTGTGTTTGTTAATTGTTTATTTATTGTTATTAACTTAGATGAATCCTTTGGAGGTTTTCAAATGGTTATTCTATTTCGTTAATTGTCTACTTTAAATTTTCGAAACTTATTTTTTTTGTTAAATAGCTTAAGCTTATTAGAATATCTTGAGAACTTTTTTTTTATGTTCTTTTATAGTTGTTAAAAAGCTTTGAATCCATGTTTACGAGTGTGAACTAACTATTTAGTTCAAATTTTTGAATAGGATAAAATTGTTAAGTTTCTTAAACTAAATTAGTATTTAATTTAACTTATAACTTGGTATGAATGACTTGAGGATCTTTAATTTCCTTTCATAGTTGTTGCACAAAGTCTTGTAATCCATGTTTATGTGTTGAATTATTTGTATGATTCAAAATATGACTATGGATAAAAGTTTTAAGTCTTAGGATTATTTTGAGATCTTGCATAATATAAGAGATTATTATCTAAGTTTTCAACAAGAATTTTTTTGAGTAGTTTGAAATAAATAAATAAGATTTTTTAAGTATTCACATGTTTTTTTCTTAAAATTAGCAAACTTTGAAATTCGTCGGTCAACCGCATGTTAGCACATTTTCTAAGGTGCCTAAACCCTTCCTTAGAGAATTATTTGAACGCTTAGCCAATTTCTATTAACCTTCTTTTTTTTTAATTTATTTGGTTTTTTTAATTTTTCCTAAAAGATTAAGTGGCGACTTCCTAAAATTAAACATTTTCCAAAATTGGCCAAAGTTGCGAAATCGGCTTCGAAATCCTTTAGTTTTCGAAATCGGGTCGTAAAAGAAATGGCGACTCCGCTGGGGATTCATCTAGGTTCTAACCAAAAGTATTTTATTGTTTGGCTAGTTATTATTGAATTAATTGTTATTTGATGCGATTATGTATTTAAATTTTGATTATTAACTGTTATTTTGCATTCATGGCATCTTCTGATATTATATGTTAGTATATTAAAGAATGGTTTGCGGAACAGCAGCCAGACTTTTTATACTCAACCTTTTTCGGAATGATCGATGATTTATTGGTTCGTCATGCGTCCAATGGTTATCGTGAATTTCAACCTAAGTTGTCCGCTTAGGTCCCGGTCCTTCAAAAGTCACTTTTAGTTAACTAAGTTAGAGCTCAACCAAGACCCTTTTAGCTGCATTAACCTAAGACGATTCAATACCCAAGGCGTATTGAATCCATTAGAAGACCACCTTGAGTCTAATTGACCTGCGGTCAACTAAGGCGATCATCCGATAATTTGTTAAATTTGAAGGATATGTATGTTGATTTGTAAGTACCATTGTCCTTTTGGGTCGGTTTTTTTTTTAATTTTGTTTTATTAGGTAGTTTCTTGGTTTAATTCAGATGAAGATACTCATCATCAAGAAGTAATTCAAAAGCATCAAGAAGTTCGGGATTCGTTATCATTGTACCCCTACGGGGGACTCATATTTATTTCTCTTTCCACTATTGTGCATCCCTATTTATTTTATTTATAAGTTTTGGGCAATGGAACAATTTACAAATGATATACATATCCTTCAAACGTTAGGCTTACCTTTGGCTTAAAAGGTCACATGTATGTTAGGAGGCGTTATATATTGTTTGTGTTAATTGTTACAAATTTTGTTTCATTTGTGCTTGTTTGACATATGTGTTTATATACATATGTTTTACTTTAAGCATAATTGGTCCATTATTCTATTCCAATGTTTTAGAACATTAATCCAATTTTCAAACCTTCCAAAATACTATAACTCCATTACAAAAATATGTTCAAAATTACTCCAGAATTTTAAAAAAATTATTAGGTCATCATTCAAATTCACATTGACCTCGTTATTTCTTGAAAATTATTTTCCACACCTACTAGCCGGCGTTACTAAATATTTCCATTTGATCATTTCTTGAAACTCATCTTCATCGAATTTTGGACTAGTTTGTTTAAAACAAAACACATGTTATTTTTTTTTTATGGGCTACTTTGGTTGATTATTATGATTAATGGACTACCTTTCTTACTTTTGAGTTGAACCAGAAAGAGAGACTGATTTGTGTTGGTAATAAACTTGCTCACTTCACCAAAGTATCCGCTGGCAGAACATTCATATTTTACACGGTCTAAGGTCAAGGGAATCTCTACAGACTCTTCACTTCTTACTTGGACTACTAAAAGGGCTCGTTCAAAAATGGATCCCACTATTCACACTTTTGCTTCGTCCGAAATGATCCCTACTCCATCGATCGCGGCCGATCCTAGTGCCTCGGTAGCAGCAGAATCACCTACGGAGGTCATTGCTAGTCTAGAGCGACAAATTGGCACGCTGAATCTCCTGGTAGCTCAATACCAAACTGCTTCTCTGAATCAACCATTTGATGCTCGTAAAAGGGGGCCCATGCCACCCGTATATCCTACTTCGAGTGAGTTTCATCAAGGAGATCACTTTGCCACCTTTCAACAAACTCAAAGTGCATCACCCACTAATTCAACTTAGGATACTCCTCTTGTATACACATTTTCTCCCCCAAAAGCTCCAACGGTAACACATCACACTCTGCCAGTGTACATTTATGTCACTGCTCCACCCGTTACCAAGGCTCCAGAGTTTCATCGCCCAGATGTTAATCACTATATTGAAATTGAGGGGGACGGAAAATCAATAGATGCTGAAATGATGAATAAGAAGATGAAAAGTTTGGAGGATGCTTTGAGAGGTATTCGTGGGTTCGATAGTGGCCAGAGTGTTAGATACGAAGAATTGTGCACATTTCCTGAGGTTGAGTTGCCACCTGGTTACAAGATTCCAAAGTTTGAGAAGTTTACTGGATCAGGAAATCCATGCTTTCACTTGAAAATTTACTGTGAAAAGTTGATTGGCGTTGGAAACAACGAAGGGATAAGAATCAAGTTATTCAATCAAAGCCTAACTGGAAAAGCATTGGAGTGGTACTCTAAGCAAGATGTAACCAAATGGCGTACTTGGGATGATCTGGCCAATGCTTTTGTGGATCATTACAAGTTTCATGTTGAAATTGCTCCCGATAGAATTTCTATTACAAAGCTGAAACCCAAGTCGACTGAATGCTTTCGAGAATATGCCATTCGTTGGAGAGAAGAAGCTGCCAGGGTGCACCCACGTATGGAGAAATCAGAAATGATCACTTACTTCATTCAAGCTCAAGAATCAGAATACTATGAGCGAATGGTCACTATGGGTGGAAAGACATTTGCTGAAGTTATTAAGGCTGGAGAAATGATCGAAGACGGTCTCAAAACTGGAAGAATAAGGAGTTACGCCTCATCTCAATTTGCTAATAGAACCTATCAAACTGGTTCTTTTGGAAAGAAAAAGGATAAAGAAGTTATGATGATAACGACCCGAGGAGCTGCATCATATAACCATCAACCACCTCAAGGCTATCCTAATTCACAATACTATGTTTGCAATAATCAAGCAACATTTCGTTCTCCACGACCAATGCAAAATCCCCGAAATAATGCACCTCATCCTAATTTTGAGAAAAAACCTGCTAGAGTCTTCACTCAATTAAGCGAGACAAGGAGTCAACTTTTTGAGAGATTGAAAGAGGCGGGAATACTTCATCCAGTGGAAGCCAAGACTATGAATACTTCAGCCGAGTGGTATGACCCAAGTAAGCGTTGTGCTTATCATTCAGGGGTTGTTGGTCATGATACCGAAAAATGTATCACTCTCAAACACAAAATTAAAGATCTAATTGACAATGAGGTGGTAAAACTCGCTCAAGCTCCATCGAATGTGAATACCAATCTGTTACCCAAGCATAAGGAGCAATGGTTGACATGACCAGTTGCAAAGAAGAAGCAACTTTCTTGAAGGTCGCACTTTTGGCAGCTTTCAGTCTTGTATTTAGAGTTTGTTATTTTATTTCTCTGTGATCGCACTTTCATCGCTTTATTACTTTGTAATCGTTTGTTTGTTTTAGATTTTCCCTTTTAATCATCTTTCACTTGTAATTTTATGAACTACGTCTGACCTGAATTCTCAAGAATGAGATACGTAGGCGGCCTATGTCGGCTTCGGTCACCCCTTTATCCCTTTAAGTGTTCTCTTATTATTTGAACTACGTTTGACCTGAATTCTCAAGAATGAGATACGTAGGCGGCCTATGTTGGCCTCGGTCATTTTCTTGGTTAAATTTCTTCTAGTCTTGTTAATCCTCTAGAGTTCGAACTATGTTTGACCTGATTCCTGCTCAACGGGATACGTAGGCGCCGCACCGGCTCGGTCATGTTCCTTGTAAGTTTTTCATTTCTCTTTATAATAAAAACTGGGGCAAATTTTGAGAGGATCTAAAAATTCATCAAGAAGAGAAGTTTATTTAGTCCAGAATCAAGGATCACTTCAGAGTTGCAACTGGGGCAAAAATTTTGAGATTCACTCAATAATTCAACTGAAAACTACAGAAATTTCAAAATTTATGATTATGTTTTATACTGGGGCAGAATTTTTGAGGAGGGTCCTCAAAAATTCAATCAAGCGACATTTCAAGACCAAACAAATTTGTAATCCAGAAGGCAAAAGAGCATCAGGATGGCAAGACAAAGCCAACACGAATTAGTCTCTCGAAACTAAGAATTTTTCTTTGGATGCAGGAATTATAAAGTTACAACACAACATTAGACCCACAGTGGCCTCATCATGACTCAGATGATTTATACTCTTGCTCATCTTTTAAAATTTTCATTTCAATTCACTGTGACTTACACATTTTATATTTTTACCAGATGGGAAGCTTGGCGCAAGGGTGATGATCATAAAGCGTTATTCAAACCAATATAAGCTGAAAAAACTTCATTTGAGAACTTATCTTTTACTTTGATAATTTTTGCTACTAATTACATCTGAGCTTTGCAGGAGTCGTCAAAGTTGAGTCGAAATTTCAAGAGATCCTTTCAATTTATAAATGATCTGCCCAAACATTCACCAGACAAAGGACACACACTAGTCCTTATCCAAGAATTTTATTATGAAGGATTCCTGACACCAAGGAACCAATCCAAACTGATTTTATCCTCTATTTTATCTGAAGAGTTTTCTTTCTTGATTTTAAAATCTCTCGTCGGCAATTTTATTTTCATTCTTTTAAAAAAATTCCTTTAAGTTTTAGGTTCGAACTACGTTAGACCTGATTTCTTGTTCCAGCAAGATACGTAGGCAATCTTATATAAGGATTCGGTCTTCCTAATGTTTGAAATTACAGTCCCCAGAGAAAACTAGGGCATGTTTTTGATTTAGTCATTCTGGTGTCTTACAATTTATTTCAATTAAGTACCCTTGGACTGGAAACAGAGGCAACTTTTGAAATAGTTCGAAATTATCCAAATTTTCGTTCAACTTCAAGTTTCAAAGGTGACCTTTATCAACCCTATCTTCTCTTTACATGAATTTCCAGATTCAAAGTAGGGACACGTCTTGCATGAGATCCCTAGTTTGTCTTTAAAGTATCCTTTCAAAAGTTAAAAGTTATCGATTTGTTCTTCCAGAATCTCGCATTCTCTATGGATGACAGATTATCGTGACTCCTTCAGAAGTCCTGACATTTATTAATTTTCCTGTTCTTGTCTAACAAAATTTTCATGAGCGCAGTGACGACAGAGCTGTAATCACATCTAAAGAAATTACCAACTTCACAAACTACAAAAGCCGCTCAGATTACTCTGTTACAACTTGATTCTCTTATTTTGGAGCGTCACTTTCTTCAACGTGACACATTATTTATTATTGGAGCGTCACTTCCTTCAACGTGACACATTATTTATTATTGGAGCGTCACTTCCTTCAACGTGACACATAAAATTATTATTGGAGAGTCACTTCCTTCAACGTGACATGTTCAATTATTATTGGAGAGTCACTTCCTTCAACGTGACACGTTAAATTATTATTGGAGAGTCACTTCCTTCAACGTGACACATTAATTATTATTGGAGCGTCACTTTCTTCAACGTGACACGTTAATTCATTATTGGAGCGTCACTTCCTTCAACGTGACATGTTAAATTACTATTGGAGCGTCACTTGCTTCAATAAGACATGTTAAATTACTATTGGAGCGTCACTTCCTTCAACGTGACATGTTAAATTACTATTGGAGCGTCACTTTCTTCAACGTGACATGTTAAATTAATATTGGAGAGTCACTTCCTTCAACGTGACACGTTAAATTATTATTGGAGCGCCACTTCCTTCAAGGTGACACATTAATTATTATTGGAGAGTCACTTCCTTCAACGCGACACATTATATAATATTATTGAATCACCACATAGTTCAAACGGACATACTATATTTAACTGTCAACTCCTTTAAGAGAATTACACCTGAAAATTGGATCGTCATCTCCTTCAGTGTGACATGTTATACCAGGACGCTGCACAACGTGGAACTTTTTCTTAGCAGTGAACTAGGGCATAGTCCAAAGAGGAATATCAAAATCTTAGGACGCGAGTTGAGGAACAACTTCCACCACAATCAAACCATACCCCTATCCTAAGGCATGTCGATATTTTCTTGGGTTTATTAGTTTCAGTTTCGCCTCCAGTGAAAATTTGAACTCTCACCCAAGGCAATTTTTCAAATTAGGGTAATAATACACCAAGAGATTCGGAAATTATGTCCATGGAAATTCTTACCTATGGGTGAGAAGGGCCCCGCATTCACAGTTGAGATGGTTGCAAGCCTCTTTTCCAAGCTCAATTATTTTGTCACTTATCCTTAAGCTAAAGGTTAAATCCACATAAGAGATTTCCTTTTCAACCGATTGAGTCGAACTACAAGCAGTCTAATTCCCTAAATTTAGGGATATGTAGGACGGCTCAATGTTAAAAACTCGACTGTACTCCAATTATTTTGTCATTACTTTGTTCTCAAGCTTTTCGATTTCTCCATACTTCGACACCGAAATAGCTTTTGCATTTCTTTGAAAACCCTGCGTCAAATCAAGCGTATCGAACTACAAGTGGCCTGAATTCTCATATAGCCTGAGATATGTAGGAAACCCACTTCCGGGGCTCGACCACAATTTCTTAAGTCCGTACCAAAAGCTCTTTTTCTGAAAGGTGAAAATGTGGTTGGTCAAAATTTGGATATGTCAATTTCATTTGCCTAGGATTTCTTTCATCAGTCTGAGTCAAACGAGGGGCAGCTGTTGACACTCAATTTTGACCCTCCACGATTTGATTAAATTTCATAAGCTTCTTAGATCTTAAACAAATGAAAATAATTGATTTTATCTATAAAATAAAAATTAAAAAAAATCTATCTTTCCCACATCATTTCTCAAACAATTTTCAATTTTCAATAGTCCCACATCGGCATTTTATCCCTTTTGAGGATTTTTGGGTCTCTATATAAACCCACTTCATTCAATATTTTAGGGGAGGGGGAGGGAAGACAAAGAATACTCATAAAATTTAGAGAATTCTTGATTCCTATAGTTAAAAATTTTCAAACTGTTTTGTGGTTTTTCGAGTTGAGGAGGTGGAGTCGTCTCGTTCAAACTCGTAGTTCCGGTTCGCTGCCCAGAACCAGGTAAATTTTTTCTTAGCCTTGTTTTATTTAATTTCTAGATCTTTTATGCTTTTTTGTTTATTACATATGCTTAGCGTTGTTTTAGTAGTCATGTGTTAGACTTTAGTTTGATCTTTTAGTAGTTTATAATGTTTATTTTGTAACTACTATTTTAGTTATTTTATGGGATGTTTTTCCAATAATCTTCCAATTTCATGTCTTTGTTTCGTCATGTTTCACTTATGTGTTTCTTGACTAAAATGTAGGCTTTCTAGTTAGTAATAAATTAGGATTTATTGAGCTAGTTTTTCTTTATATACATATATCTGATTATAGCCTTGAACATAGGAATTGTCCCCTTTTTGTATAAATCGTGTTAGTATTGCTGCTAATGCTTTATCATTTCGTATTAATGAGGATGGTCATTTGTTAATGTTCATGTACCTTTAAAATTACTAGTTGCTCTTTTATTGAGAATACATATTTGTATTGTTACTTATCAATTCTCTGCTATAATACACTTCCGTAGTGCATATCTTAAGATATTTAACATAATGCATAGCAATTTGTCTATTAACTTAGGAGTGGATTTAAGCTCTGTGATTGAATTTTAGATTATTATGTGTCTATTTGATACGTGTGGTTAAAGTTGTGGGGTTTGGTATATCCATGTTTATCTTCCTTTGAAAAATTCCATGCCCATTTGAAGTGGTTCAACTATGAGATTTGACATACTATTGTCACTAAGCTAGATGATTTGAATATTTCAGAAAATTCTTCAATCAGTTGCTAATTTTATTTCATTCTGTGCATATACCTCTGTCTTAACTGAGTCCATCCGGACTCCCTTCTCTTTCATTATTCCGCTTCTTGAGTCAATCATCTTCGGAATTGTGAAAGGGAGTCATGTTATTGGGTTAAACACTCAAAAATCAGCAGCAACAACACTTCCAAAGAGCTAAAACGGAGAGCAAAATTGGGTCCATTTTTGCAGCAGTTTCAGCAGTCCCCTAAGGGCTGAAAATTGCACTTTTTTGGCTTAAATGTTCGGAAATTGCACTAGTAACAACAATTTGCAGCAGCCAAATAAAGGCTAAAAGTTAGGGCGAAAATCCTAGTTTTCCCTCATCTTGTTTATTATCGTGTTATTTGGTTTAGTTTCTCTTTATCTCTTATTATTGTGTGTTGTGTTTGTTAATTGTTATTAAATTAGATGAATCCTTTGGAGGTTTTCAAATGGTTATTCTATTTCGTTAATTGACTACTTTAAATTTTCGAAACTTATTTTTTTTGTTAAATAGCTTAAGCTTATTAGAATATCTTGAGAACTTTTTTTTTATGTTCTTTCATAGTTGTTAAAAAGCTTTGAATCCATGTTTACGAGTGTGAACTAACTATTTAGTTCAAATTTTTGAATAGGATAAAATTGTTAAGTTTCTTAAACTAAATTAGTATTTAATTTAACTTATAACTTGGTATGAATGACTTGAGGATCTTTAATATCCTTTCATAGTTGTTGCACAAAGTCTTGTAATCCATGTTTATGTGTTGAATTATTTGTATGATTCAAAATATGACTATGGATAAAAGTTTTAAGTCTTAGGATTATTTTGAGATCTTGCATAATATCAAGATATTATTATCTAAGTTTTCAACAAAAATTTTTTTTGAGTAGTTTGAAATAAATAAATAAGATTTTTTAAGTATTCACATGTTTTTTTTCGTAAAATTAGCAAACTTTGAATTTCGTCGGTCAACCGCGTGTTAGCGGATTTTCTAAGGTGCCTAAACCCTTCCTTAGAGAATTATTTGAACCCTTACCCAATTTCTATTAACCTTCTTTTATTTATTTATTTATTTGGTTTTCTTGATTTTTCCTAAAAGATTAAGTGGCGACTTCCTAAAATTAATCATTTTCCAAACTTGGCCAAAGTTGCGAAATCGGCTTCGAAATCCTTTAGTTTTCGAAATCGGGTCGTAACATTGACACTAAGATGAGAATTTTTTAGAGCGATTGAGCCTTTTCCATCGACTGTCATTACCTTGTCATTTGTAAGATGGACTTCTTACTTCTCTAATTCATCGAGTTCTTTGAACATTAGAATTCTGCGCCGCAAGTTGTTGGAGAAACCACTATCAATGATCTATATGGCATCTGAACCAACATCTATTGAGGAGCGAGTCACGAACAAATTACCCTCCTATTGTTGTTTCTCAGTGAAATTGGCATGGGTTGTTCATCCTTCTATTTAGTTCAACAATAAACTCCCTTGTACCCCATTTTTCTATAATAGCGGTATTGAATATTTCTCTTGAACTGCCGATGCTCACCACCAAATTGAGCTCGTCTTCTTCCATGACCTCATTCATGGAAACTAGTTCTGCCTCGATATCCTCTGGCTTTTGAAACATCTAATTTGCCTTTGAAAGAAGACTCCCCTTGATCTGAAATGCCTTCTTTTCACCCTTTTGTTGATAAGCATTGAATTTATTCACATGAGCTTCAAGTGAACTCATCAATTCATCAAAACCATAATTAGATAAATCATGGAACTCCTCAATAGAAGCTACAACATGATCGAATCGTTTATTAAGACTTCTCAATACTTTAGAAATTATAGTTTCACAGTAATTTTGTAAGGATATGCCTTCATATTATTAACAATTGGACACACCCTAGATAAGTAGTCTTACACAGATTCACTACTTTGTATGGATGAATTTCTTAAATCACTTCGGAGTGATTTTAACAATCATTACATTTATTAAGCTGTGAAATTCTTTTTCCCGATATGCCATGCCTTCTTTGAGGTTTCTGCAATAGAAATATTGGAAAAATTGAGTCATGCACTGCTTGCTGGATGCAAAATTGTGTCGTCGAGTCCTCTTTATTGTTCTCCTGCAACCTTTGTGCTTCATCTTTCTCAGCATAGCCCTTCTCCACCAAATCCCGCAGTTCCTGAGACTTGAAGAAAGTCTTCATCTTTATGCTCCAAAATTCGTATTATCCCCCTTAAAGATGGAAATTAGTTGTTGAGTTGTGGTAAATGGTCCATTGGGAGCAATTGTTTGCACTCAATTGTCACTTTCTTCTTGGTATTGATTTTCTCTTAGTTTCACCTAACCTGACTCTTCATACCAATTTTTTAAATCAAGTACATAGGACACTTTAAATAGGAATTAGAACTCAACCATCTAAGAGAAACATGACCGAGTAAATTAACCACAACCTTATCCACTAGGCTAAATATTATCAACTAACAAAAGATATGCTTTGGCTCAACTAGGAGCCCTAACAAACATGTTACTTAGCCAACTAAATAGGAGGAAAGGAACAAAAAGAGTCCCTCATCTTTGGGTTAAGATTCAAAGTGATCCTTGAATTTTCACAAAGAGCACTAATAGTCCCTCATGTTTACAAAATTGGTGCACTTTTGGTCCTCTCGTAAAATTTCATCTATTGTTTAACATTTATTTCGTCCAAAATTTTATATAAGGAATGTCAATTCATCTTTTAATATATTTAATAGAAATAATAACTTTTTCGGAGAGAAATGATAAGAAAAACACCTTTTTCTGTTCACGAGAAATATTACCGTTACTAAACTAAGAACATTTTAACATATGAATTTGCAGGAAAAGAAAAAATTGTATTATTGCACGTGAAATTATCGTGATGAACCTCTCGACTTTACCTACTCTACAATTTCTACTAAACAAAATAAAGTGTTTTTCTTCTCACATTCTTTGATATAGAGTTTTTATTTCTACTAAGAGAAAAGACATAAAGTTACCACTGATGTTGTCTCGGATTTGCAAAAAGACACCTTGACTTTGCAACTGTCCTATTACCTCACTAAACAATTTTGAAAATATATTATTATACTATTTTTCAATCAGCCCCAAGTTTTAAGAAGCAAGAATCTTCACACACCAATCATTATATGACACATGTTAATTTAATTAAAAATGTATTTTTTTTATCTTAAGTTTTTCCTTTATTTTTTTAACTTTATTTCTTTTTGATTCTAAATTTTAATTCATCTCTCACCTCCCACTTTCAAGTGACTCATTCCTCTATTTTCTTTTTTTCCTTCACCTCGTACACCCCATGTCAAATTGAGCCCTACTCCCATTTACTTCACCACTCTCTATGTCAGTTGGGAAAAAAATGATATAGTTATATATAATCAAAATTGTTTAGTGGGTAATAAGACGGTTGCAAATTTAAGGTGTCTTTTCGAATATTCGGGATGACTTGAGTGTTGACTTTATGTCTTTTCTATTCTACTAAATATATAAAATGACAATTGAACATCTCATACATAGGTTATGGATACAATCAATACAAAAAAAAGGTAAAATTTTGAAGAAGGACTAAAAATGTACCAATATAGCAAACAAGAGGGACTATTAGTGCTTTATATGAAAACTCAAGGATAACTTTGAGTCTTAGCCCAAAGAAGAGGGATTATTTTGATCCTTTCCTTACTAAATAGAAACTTCTAAACACGTTTAAATCAATATTCAACATTAGTTTCTAAGTTCTTTCCAAAAACTCAAACATATCCATATTGTTTTTATTTATTATTTCCTTAATTTGTCTATTGAATATTGAGTAACTTGTCTACTTATTTTTCTACATTTATTGTGCTTTACGTGAGTGATTGCGGTTAAATGAATAGTCTTTAAGTATAGATCTAGAAGATTATCAACAAAGATGATCCTTGCAAAATTGGAGAAATTTGTCCTATTATTAGAAGATCTTTCGAATGTCATAAAGAGGCTTACATAGTGGGAAAAGAGGAGGATTCTATAATGAGAATAATAAGGTCTTATAAGTATTTGCTTGAAACCATCAATCAAATGAATTGCTAAGACATCCAAGTTAAACTCTTGGTTAAGAAGCATTCACCTCAGACGGAGCAGAATATTTGATCAAGCATACTGACATTAAACTTGTTGGTATTGATTACTTATATGATGCCATTAGTCCCAAGAATGTGATCCTTAAAGTTCATTAACATCTTTTGAATTAAATAAATAAATGTAAAGTTAAAGATAAATAAACATAGCACACCAAATCTATGATAAGGAAAATAGAGTAATAACCTATCAGTAGTCAGTTAAGTTTAACTGATGGCGTGAAAATCTTTAATATTGTAAGTATATAAAACCTAATAGTTTATATGGTTACCTGTAACTGTGAAACTAAATCCCTTTGTTAAAGAAATGTCAATAAGCTACTTCTTTAGTACAAACTGCATATTTAAAAACTGTTTATTATTTGTAGAATAACGAAATGATTTTAAAGAAAAAAACTTATTGTTATGTACCTTTAGTATATAGGAGTACTCCCAAGCAAAATGTGCAGAAATTTTCTATCAGATAGGCTCCACAAGCTTCTGTATGCGCCTCGTAGCCGAATCTGGAATAATAGGATGATCATTCTGTTTTAAATGAACACTTAAGATTGTAACTTTTGCGATTTTGACATCATGTTAGAATTGTTTATATGTCAGCTTTCTGTATGTTCTACAAAATATATATTTAATAGTATTTTAAGGGCAAATATGAAAAATTGGAGAGTTTGTCATATATACAAGTGATCCATCTAACATGTTTAGACGATCATTTGCGTCATCAAGAGGGTTACATGGTGGAAAACACAGGAGGATTCTATACTGAGAATAATAATGTCTTATAAGTATTTGTTTGAAATCATTGATCCTCTAAATTAGTAATACACCCAAATTAAACTTGAGATTGTAGTTTTGGGATTTTTACATCTCGTTTGAATTGTTGATATGGCAGCATTCTGTAAGTTGAACAAAACATATATTTACCATATAATGGGAATCTTGCCTCTTGGCCACTGAACTTGATTAATGATATAAGGTTCATGGATGCTTGTAGAAGCACATCTTCTTGATGAGCACTATTGTCGCAATTATCAACTTCCTTTTTACTTGTGCAACAATACCAAAACTTAAATGAACAAAGAAATTAGACAAGGACTGGAGTATAATAGAAAGTAACAAGATTTTTTTGGAATGAAATTTGTAAATGGTTTTCTATGAGTTTATTTTGAAGATATAAAAAAGTGAATAAATGGGGTGAAGGACAATAGGGAGTCCACCAGATTGGAAGCAAGTTGAACCGAACGACTATTACCTTTGTGATTAAAATTTTGATAGTAGAGATGATGAAATCGAACCAATAAAAAGTAACCTATAAAAAGTAACATATAGTTAATTACTAGAAGAAACACGTAACATTTATTTTTTATTGTTTTCACTAGCACAACTATATTTTTCTTCGGTTTTATGAGTTGGATCATAAAATCACATGATATTTCACTTTGATATTGAAAATCATGTCCTACAAACTCCATGGAATTAAGAAAATAAATGAAAAATTATGATCCTGACCTACAAACTCCATGGAGTTAAGAAAACAAAAGAAAGAACATGAAACTTTGGTCGATGAAATAATGTGGGGGGGGGGGGGGGTTGTGTGTATTTATAGTGGCTTCTCTATGAAAAAATTAAAAAATTTAAAGCGAAAGTCAAACCAAAATAAAATAGACATTATATTCAATGTGTAAGTAATCATGTTTATTAATGGTCAGGTATGACTACAGAGAAAACATATTTAATGTTTTCCTCATTATCATAAATGTCTTGTGTATCATACTTTTGCTTTCTCACACATTACATTGAACATGTTTATTGTATAACTACAATTCTTTCACATACATGATTTTAAAGCGAAAGTCAAACTAAAATAAAATAGAAATTATATTAGATGTGTTAGTAATCTTGTTTATTAATGGTCATGTATGACTAAAGATAAAACCTATTTAATGGTTTCCTCATTATCATAAATGGCTTGTGTATCATACTTTTGATTTCTAACACATTACATTGAACATGTTGATTGTATAACTACAATTCTTTCACATACATGATTTATCACCACTGCAATGTAGGTGGACCCTGACATGACTTGCTTATACTTATCTAATTTAATAAATTTGAACAAAATAATTTATTATTAAATAATAAATCTTTCTTTTAAATTATCTAACTACGGTTTATATATAAGAATCATATTCTGGTAGGTGCAGTATGATTATTTTTGGATCATGATATCATCCGTATATACCCTATGAGTGTTGAAGTGTAGATGTCATTGTTACAATCTAAACCAAGACCATGAAAAGGTATTGATTGTCTTAATTATCTATGTATTCTTACCAACAGTAACAATAGTCAATTATCAAAATTTTACAACGGTAAAAGTACAAACTTATACTTTTTCAACGGTAAATTTTTTTTTTCTTTCAGTGTGTAAAAAAGGGATTCATGAACTATTTCATCTTGTTCTATTTAGAATACTTAAATATCTTTTTATAAAATTATTTCTCAAGCATTTCAAACATCTAATGCAAAAAAGTCTTACGTTTGTGGTTGTGGTGATTCAATTATATTGAGGAAGTCACACACGATACAAACCCAGGTCGACAATTCTTTAACTGTGTAATTGCGGTATGCTCTTTTTTTAAAAAAAATTTCTTGAAATCAACGATCAACCCATCAAAATTAAGGGTGGGACTCGAGACATCAAATTTTCAAGGCGTTATCGAATTTCAAATATCATAATGTTTTTGCAACTCAGACGAAAATAAAGATTTGTTATTGATTTCATCCAAAGAAGTTCCAGAGCAGAGGGATCACTTTGAAGGATTGCTAAAAGACACTGAAATAGATAGGAATAAACTAAAAAAAAGGTTAATATTGACTGAAAAAAAGAGAAATGTGTAAAAACAATATTGAATGTTTTGTTGCTAGTGGTTGCTTTTTGAAAATGTGTAACGCGTATGCATTAGTACAATTTCATATCTTTTACTCATGTAGTGGTACAATCTGTTAATAAAATGATGTCCTTCTCGTATAGTAAGACTACGCATTATACATACAATTTAAAGATAATTGATAACAATATCTAGTAAAACAAAGATAAAATTTACATAATCCAACAGTCTTAATATATATCTTCAAATATCAACTACTTCAACAACTAATTGTCTTAAAAGCCACTTCAAAAACCAAGTATGTCAAAAACCAATTGTCTTAATAATCAACTACCAAAAAACAATTGTCTAAAATCAAGTTCAGAATTGTCTTAAGATACCAATAATTACAAATGTCTTACTCATCACATTGATGTTCATAACAATATTCATCACGTCCAGTGTATTTTCATCATTGTCTCCTTTTCCCTCTTCTGCTATATTAGTAGGCAAGATTTCCTCTACACTTTCTTTCCGCTTCTCCGGATCTTTTTTTTTTCTTCTTTCTTTTCTTTCAACTTCTCCTCTTCTTTTTCTTCTTCATTGTTCTCTTCGATTTTCTCCTCTTCATTTTCTTCTTATTTCTTTTCTTCCAACTTCTGCTCTTATTTTTATTCTTTGTTCTCTTCCGATTTCGCCTCTTCTTTCTTTGCCATCTTTTCCTCCTGTTGTTCTTTGTCTCCCACTACCAAAAAAAACATAAAAAATGGAATAAGAACAACTGAAGAATCATCACCTTCATTTGTTTTGGATGTCATATTGTTTTCTTCACCTAACCCCATATTAAGAACAAAAATCTGCTCTGGTACCAATTTGTAGGAAATATTGAAGAAAAATAGTATCTTTAGAGAATGCTCAAGTTATTATAGGCTACTTAAGGACACTTGACATGAGTGCAATCGTCAACTACATCACTATTTATACTATTCAAAATGAAAAACAAAAAGTCTTGCACAATTAACTAGATATATGTATCACAAATTACTAGATACATGTATTACAATATTCTAAAAGACTTCTTGAGAAAGTAAGAGACAATATTGAAATACTAAACATCATGGTGTGAAGTAAATGCATTGATTCCAACGATAATACGTCTAGGTGGTGTATGATGATTATGTAACCAACATAAAACTTTGTACTATAATTTTTGTATTATGTAGGAAATTTGTACCACAAGAAGCTCTTTGACATTAGTTTTCATACAGTCATATCGTGGTTTTAATTGTCTAGTTTTGCATTTTTCATATGTATCTTAAAACTACTTCTTTTGTTACTAATTTTGCAGCTAAATATAACAGTTAGTATTGAAAGCAACTCTCCAATTTCAAGAGACGGAAATAATATTGTTTCATCTCAAAATTATACTGATTCTTCGATCAAAATTCAGAATGCTACGGAGGAATTGAAGGTATATATTTCTTAGTATTTTCCTTTGAAAGAGTTTGTATGCAAATTGAGTGACATTGTTTGATATTATGCACATTTTCCATCTGATTGCCATCCTTGTTCTGATCAGATTTGGGTCCCTTCAAACCCAAATATGTAGTTTAATGCTTTATTTAAAATTGTATCTACTCTTGTATACCAAAAATTTCATGTATACTCCGACTAATTCCAAGGAATACAGTCATTTTCTACTAGTAATATATATCACGTAACTCCCCTTACCAAGGATAAAAGAGATGAGAAAGAAATCAACGAGTGTTTTTATCTCTGTTAATATTTGAACCTGAAACATAATAATTTTTCACCCACTTCATTGATCACTTTCATCGCACTCTTTGATACCATTGTATGTTAATTTTTTCACACGATAAATAGAGAAGTATGGAAGGCCTAATCGGATAACTAAAACATCATTCAAACTCTGTTTGAATTGTAAACTCTTTATCTATTTGGACTATAATTTTAGGAAAAACTTCAGAATATGGTAAACATCCATATATATTTTTAAAAAATAGCTATTCTTTATTTTTTTTCATGTTATATGATATAATTAGACTATAAATAGCAAAGTCAATTCTATGTAAATAAATATTTTTCATATACATTTAACATAATAAATAAATATTAAATAGGAAACTTACTATAATTGAATGCCTAAATAATTATGGCAGACATATTAGTGATCTTTTTCCATCTTTACCATCATCAAATTTTTTTCTTTTATCAATATTCATACATCACATATTTTATGTCCCCCCCCCCAAACCCAAATTCATTTATTTTGTATCCATCAAGTACTTTTTTATTACATATTTATCTCGTACTTATACAATTTGATACCTAAATTGTATTTTTTTTCTTGTTTGTCTAATGTATCCATACTTGTACTGTTTGACGTGTATCTTTTTTGCTCGTTTGTATAAGGTATCCATATTTTTGCTTAACAACAATGTTGAATGTATCCATTTTCATATACATAGATACTTGTAGTATTATATAAGCACATTTAAAATATTGATTTACGAAGACAATTATATCTTGATATATACGTAGTATATCTAAGATAAAAAGTTAATTCTGAAATACAAGTATAATTGCATCCAACATATTCATTTTTGTGTTTAATAACAATGTATTTATTGTTTTCTATATAGGTGTATTCATTTTTTGTTTAACAACTAGTGTATCTATTGACATGTATTTCATCTATTCAATATCGAAATACTTAACCTTCATTTCCAAATTCAACAATTTGCTTACAACAATAAGATAAATTAACAAAAAAAAATAAAAATACCTTTATATCGATAAAATAAGAAATATGGTGTCTACAAGAAAATTGAGTATGATGTATCACAATTTTTGTTAATCTGATAAAGAATAGGATCTCATATGTCTTTAAATAAGTAATATTTAGTTATAAAGTTAATTATGGAAAATTGTTCATTGCATCGACTTAATATAAGGATAGTGTGTTATATTTAGAGTCAATTCTTTTTTTTAGTTTGTTTTACTTAAAGATGTATTAATGTATCAATAAAAAATAAAAACTATACAAAATTACAGCTAAAAATGATATAAATTGTAGTCATTTATTGTAAATAACATATTTATAGCTATTGGTATTCATTAACCCTATAAATATAGTTATTTTTGTTAGTT